GAAAGGAAGGTAAGGGGACAGTGACAAGTGGAGGAACTATTTTATCAGCGGATCAGAAATGAATGGAGGAAGCCATGCCCGTATCTAAAGGAAGAGTGTTCTAACAGAGAAAGCAGCGAGTACAAAGACTGAGTCGAGTGTGCTTGGTATGTTCAAACTGCAGGGAAGCCAGCATGCTGGAGTGAGCGAGAGGCCTGGTAAAGGTTGAAGTCGAGAGGTGGAGGGCATTCACCTCCTATGGGGCTTTATAAGCCACAGCAAGCACTTCAGATTTTATTCTGCACTTAACAAGAAGCTCTTGGAGGGTTTTCGGTGACATGATCTGACTTACAATTTACAAGCACCCTGGAAGCTGCATGGGAAACAATCTGTACTGGGCCAAGGGAGGTGGCAGAAGCATCTATTGAGACACTCCTGCAAGAATCTAGATCAGAGGTAGCTTGGAACAGTCGAGTGGGTAGTGGTAGACATAGTGGGTAGCGGTCAGGTTACACTTAAAAGGCAGAACCAAGGAATTTTTGATTGATTGGACGTGATATATGAAAGTCAGGAGTCAAGGATAAGTTAGGGGTGCAAGTGAAAAAACAAAAATCAGAATCACACACCATAGTACCAAAAGAAAACCTTTCTTCCTATAAAAAGTGCCCAAAGAACATTATATACGACATAAACTTGATTCCTATTCAGCTACTCAAATGTAGACAGAAAAAAACATCGAAAATCAGGTCAGTTATAAAAACCCTGTGCTTACTCTTGTGCAAGACATTGGCTTAGGGACTCAATCCAGGGAAATTATACTTGATTCTTCCAAGGGTAGAAACTGTACTTGCTCTTTTCCCCTCTCTTAGCATGAGAACTATGAAATGCATGTAAGATACAGTATTGAGAGTTTCAGTGCTAACCCTGAGATATAAATGTAATGACTAATGAATGTGAGCCTGGTGGGTATGGGAGGTATTACTCCTTTGTCTTTCCAAATGCACTTCTCAGCCTTCCCCCACACTATCGTGTGGGCTCTGGCCTCCAGTTGGGTTCTGCCAATCGATGGCATAAAGCAGGAAGCTGAAGGGAGCGAGGAGAGTGAGGACGGGGTATTTATTTCCCCAGCCACCTCCTTGTGGGGTCGCCTGGGGCTGGTTGGATCCTTTCACGAAAGGGCACAGCTCCATCACAGGGCCTTCCCAGAGGCTCCCCCCTTTCAGTAACGGGCCCCTCCCATGCCTCTTCAAGCCTAGAAGTGGCGACAGCACCTTCACTAAACAGCCCTTTAGGACAGCACCATCTCTATACCCTGAATTTACAAAAATGGTTATTTATTAAACTCTGATCAAATTACCCACTTTTAGAATGCCATCTGTTCCCTGCCAGGACCCTATAGAGAGACTTAGTAGGGTGGCACTTAAGTAATGAGAAAAACTTCAAACCACAAGGTTATCCCATTAGAAGGAACAATACGAGCAAAAGGTAAAAGGTCTGAAACGCGTAAATGCACAAGTCAATTTGATCCAAACTCAGATCTGAATCAAGATTTCCAAATTAGTGGCTTTGTTGTAGTCTCTTATGTAAACGTATCCACTAGTCATTTATTTACAGTGGGAATCCCTATTGTAAGACACATCTTCCTTATTCTCAGATATAGTAAATATCCTAGCTAACTAGCACAACTATTTTCTGTAGGAAATACCCAAAATGTTTATGGAAATAGGGTAGGCAGTATTTATAAATTACAGGGAGATCTACAAGTTCCCTGGAATCAACATACAAAATTTTATATGTGTAATTTTCTGAAAAAGCGGTACAGCTTTTCATGGTTTTCACATAGATTTGTGCCTCTCTAAAAACCAGTGCTTGCAGATCCCCAAGGAAACTCTATTGAATTATAAATTTGCCAACTCTAAGCCTTCCCTAGAAATGTTTCACGTAATACAGAAAAGACCTTGATTGCGGAAAATTATGTAGATCACTAGCTATTATAAACATCTGCGTAGGTCAGTTTACTGGCTGTGAACTTGCAATCATACTGTAGACCTTATGTCCCTTAATAATTTTCTAGATTTTTAGCTTCCCCAGATATTTATTTAACATCTATAATATGCAAGGCCTGTAGCTATATATTAGGCAAAGCACTACAATTCAACCTCATTTATTTTACATGTTATTCCTCAGAAAGAACTTACAACCAATATTCACATCTTGGTTATTAATTAATTAAATTCCAAACCATGCCACTTATTCTGAAAGAGCAGCAATCGGAACTCTCCAAAATTAACTGCTTAGGATAGTTTGAAAAACTGTTTACAGATGCTATATCACTTATGTAAGTACCACATCTGGCCTCTGGGCCTTTGTATCTGCTGTTCTTTTAGCCTGGAAGGGATGCCACCTCTAGGAAGCCTTCCTGTGTGCTCCCTTATTATCCTGAACTTACCCTTCAGAGCTCGCTACACACACTATTGAAGTCATACCTTTATTGTTTATCTTCCCAAGCAGACTACACAGAATTTAGGACTGCATCTCCAGAAGCTAAATATGATTTAATGGGCCATGTGCCAAATACAGAGATCTGTTCCATTCCGTAGGCTAACTAGTTTCCAAGCAGGCTACCATGTAGCCTAATGTGTATTCCTTTGCTCACCATAAGTAGAATGGTGAGTAACAGTAAGTCTTTCCCTTCTCAGTAAGCATTTCAGTTGCAAGAATAAAACAAGTTAGGAATTTCTTAAACAAGATAAAAACTATATATATATTCTTCAGTTCATTATCATTAGAGCTGTGTGGCTTTGAGGGATCCACTTAATTTCTCTAAGCTTTAGTATTTTTGTCCAATAAAAATGCAGACAATGCCAACTTTACTAGGTTGTTATGGGAAGTGAATAAGGACTTTCTATGGCATATCTCATAGCTCATAAAAACGCTTTCAATAAACACCTTTTAAAGAAACCAAAATGCAAGTGTACTTCCAACTGACATATTTTTAAATCCTGGATAGACATATGAAAAAGACATAGTCCAATAGTCATACTTAATTCACATAATCTATAGATTACCAATAGTTGCTTAGTTTTATGAAACGATTTCTACCAAGCTGAGAGAAAAATAAACAAACACTATATAAAGTAACGCCGCTCTGTAAAACCAATAGCTCAAGGATCTCCATGTGTATTCAGCATGGCAAAACGGAAACTTGTAGGTGAACAGGTAGGAGACAAATTAGGAAAAAAATCCAAACCCTTCAAATAACTCAGAGCTACCCCACAACACAATCAGCTTCTGTGGTAGGCAGATTAAAGCCCACCGCCCCCTCACTGCCACCGCGGGAAAGATGTCTTAGTCCTAACACCCAGAACCTGTGAATAGCTTAAGTTACATGGCAAGGGAAAATTAAGGTTTAAGGAGGAACTGAAGTCGCTCAACAGCTCCTTGAGATGGGGAAAGCATCCTATATTACCGGGTAGACCCGATGCAATTACAAGGGTCCTTATATGTGAAAGAGGGGGCACTAGGAAACTCACACAGCTTCCTTGGGATGTTGTATCCTCTTCCTTACAGACGATGTTCAGGCAGAGTTAGACAAGTTATTCATGGTTGGGGGTGGGGGGAGGGGAAGGGGAAAATGTCCTGATACATCAGATAAGGACTGCTTAAGTGAGTTTCTAAAGGCAGGGGTCCTTAAATTTGGTCTAAGGAAAATCTCCTAATTTGCATGAACATATGCCCATTTCTCTGTAGAGAGGATACACAGCATTCAAATATTCTCAAAATGATCTGTTTTACAAACAAGGATAAAACACTCTTCCTAAATTATTTCCAACACTGGGCTTTTCCTATTCCATGCTTTTCTAAGGCAGCGAGTCTCAAAATGTAGCTCGTCAAACACCAACATAAAATATCAAAATGCCTCTAAGGCTGTTTGTAGAATTCAGATTGCTGAGCTCCACCCCAGGCAAAATCTCTGGGAGCTGTAGGAAAGTCCAATATTTAATAAACTACGAGAAAAGGGAATTCTACACACAGTTAAAGAACCATTGCTCCAAGTATTTTACGAAACATTAATCTGAAGAAACTGAAACAAATTATCCCATCACCAAATCTTGAGAAATCTCAGTGCATTCATCTTACCATGTGACTTTGTGTAACTTACTCTTTTTTCCTGAGCCATGGGCAGCCCAAAAATTGGGGCAATCTCTACTGCAGCTAATTTTTTTAGATTAAAGTTCATTCTGTGTAGTGTCAGAATGATGATTGGCAGCGAATGGGTCACATTCAAAAACTGTTAATCCTATGACACCCGCCCCACTCCTAGGTAAAGATAAATAATGCCCCACATGCTATATTACCCTATAGTTAAATACCGGAAGAACTGTTGTGTCAGTATCATCAACAAATTACTACTTTCTATAATAAATTTCATGGTATGATTTTCCTTCCTAACTTTTCACTCTTTTATGCTCATGTTTTGCCGGACTTATGCCTGTGATGCGGTGGGCATTTACAAATTAAGTCCTTTACTAGTCGTCGCGTGGGGCAACCCAAGTGGCCTACAAGAAAAGGTTTGCCACTAGAAAAGAGTCAAAAGAATGAGTAAGAACAGCCAAAAGTGGCTTTTCAATCCCAGCAACCTTAGGCAGCTTTTCCCTGACAGGGATGCTTGACAACTCTAACGGAACCTGAGACGTGACTAGGAAGAGTCCTCAGAGAAGGGCGTTTAGGACCTATCTTCGCGCCTCACCAAAAAACCCCAAATTCCAAGGCAAGGTCAAAAGAAACCATACCAACCAGGGGGCCAGATACGGAGTCAAGTTCTCCCAGCTCCCAGGAAAGCCCTTCGGGCATGCACATATTAAGCGATCAAATCAGCGGATCTCTCCCCGAGAAAAGGCCGAGGCAACAGGGTGCCCCGAATAACTCCACATCCAAATGCAGGCCCTCAATCCAAAAGCCCCTGACCCTGGCGCAGTGTTCATTTACACAGAGACGCTGAGCGAGCTCCGGTCACTCACCCCGCAGCCAGAGCGTGCTGTGAAACCATCTCCAACTAGCTCCGCGGCCGGCAGTACACCCAACAGCCCCATTAACCAGCCCCAGGCCTCGCCGGCCGCCGAAGCTTAAGAGGTAGTGCAGCATCCGCAGGTCACAGCCTAGCCTCCAGGAGGCCGCCATCTTCCCAGCCTTCTCACCGGCTGTTGCGGCACAGCCTGATCGCTCTGTCATCAAGCCCCTCCCAGGCCCCGCCTCTCACCCGGTTAGCCACGCCCTTCAAGCGCCTGTCTTGCCTAAATTCCACAGCCTCCTAGCCCCGCCTCCAACCTCGTTGGCCCCGCCTCCCAGTTAGGGGACTGAGCCCTCCGTCAGCGAGTTCCTCCCAGGCCCGCCCTTCGTTTTGTGCGCCCCACCCCTGGGATGTCCGCTGCTTCGCCTGATTGTAGCTAGGGCTTCGCCGCGTTTGTCCGTGCGGATCGCAGGGAGCAAAGCCGTGCGAATAACGGAGGCAGCAGGTGTCCCTAGTCCGGGCCATGTCTAGCTGTCCCACTCCGGAGGGACAGTGTTGCTCAAGGCGATGCGGTTTGCAGGTAGGGGCGAGGCCGCGGGTGTCCTTCATTCCTAGCAGGCAAGGCGCCGCTGGGGCCTGGCAGAGGCTTCCGGAAGGCCGAGAGGCGGCCCCCTGACCGGCGCGCTGCGCTCAGCTTCGCGCGGGGACCTGAGGTCACGGCCTGCAGCAGTTGCCTCCAAGGGCTTGGCTGTCCTACGGCGGGAGCTGGGCAGCAAACGATTAATAAAGGAGAAATCACAGAAGAGAGCATTCGGGGTCTTAATTGTGTGTTCTAAAGCAATTTACCAGGAAGACAGACCAATCGAAGGAACGTGCAGCGCCGGAGTGGAAATGGAGCAAGGACTGAGCTCTTGAGCTTACCTTTGCCCACTGGTTACCAACCGGACGTTTGTTTGCGAAGCACGCTGTAGGCACACGTGGAAACGTTCGCCTGGCCCGAGCTGTGCCTTAGTAGCCGTCACTTTCCCTCTGAGCAGTTTTTCAGCCTCAGTTTAGATTGATTATGGGTTGATCATAGAAGTGAGTCTTCCTTAAGTCGAAGTGAAAGGAGCACCCACCCTAGGGCTGCTATACTTTTCATTTGCTTACACACACCAATTTTATGGAGCACCTACGTTCTCACTGATACAGTGATGATTAAAACAGATGACCTAGGGTGTACAGGTATACTAGACAAACAATTTCATTAGAATGTGAGAAGCCTTGCTTATGAGGCAAGGATCAAATTAGCCCCCTCATTCTTCTCCCATTTTTCTCTCTTAAGGATGAAAGTCCCGATTAAAAGGTAACAACCAACCTTAGATTTTATTGTGAAATATTTTTTGGAGGAGGATAAAGTTTTTCTCTACTCAAAGGTTCTTTTTGGCTGGTCTAATAATGAAGTCAACATGGACAGATTAATAAGAGAAAATAACTGAATTTAATAATAAAGAAATAACTGAATATAATAGTAAACAAGGAAACTCCATATACATGAGAGGTTCAGAGGCAGAAAAGTAAAACAAGGCATATGAAGTCTGTCCAGAAAAAAATCCAGCCATTGTTAGTATAATGAGAACGTTTGCCTGACGTTATGTAACCTGGGAGCCAAGGAGAGTGGACTGGAATGTGCATGCGTGACCAATGATGACTTCACTGTACTAGTCAGTGGGGGCTGTGTACTGTGTGGCCGTCACATTCAAAGTGACTGAGCAAGTAGAGCAATGAATCTGCATCAAATTCTGCATAAAGCTTGAACATTTCTTCATGGCTACCATGCTGATGATTCAGAAGACTGCAGCTGTGGGCAGCTGGTGATTGGCAGCTTCATCACAACATCAGGACAATGTACCTGCTCATGGATCATGTCTGGTGCAGAGATTTTTGGTGAAATGTCAAATCACACAGGTAACTCAGCCCCCCTACAGCCCAGATTTGGCGCCCTGCAACTCCTGGCCGTTCCCAAAACTAAAGCCACCTTTGGAAGGAAAGAGATTTCAGACTGTCAATGAGATTCAGGAAAATACAATGGGGTACCTGTTGGTGAATGGGAGAACTGTGTGAGATCCCAAGGTGCCTACTTTAAAAAGAACTGAGGTATCATCATCGTCCTATGTACAGGGTTTCTTGTATCTTGTATCTTCTTCAGTAAATGTCTCTATTTTTCATATTACATGGCCAGATAACTTCTGGACAGACTTCATATGTGACTTTCAGAGCTAAGGCAAAATGCCTTGGAGCTTCAGAGGGGAGAGAAAGGTCACTCCTAGAATGATACAAGCAAATGTCAAGTAATTAGAAGTTTGCCCTGCCTTGTAAACAGGTCATTAAAAGTTATTTCTGGTAATAACTCTTACAGCCAAGGCCCCAAATTTAAATTCTCTTAAGGAGAGGTAAAACTTTCTTCTGAGTCTGCAGGGTTTCGGTTGCCTTCCACTGAAAACAATTCACATGCCAAAGTGGCACATCATGGGGAGGCCTGTTCTGAACCCCTTCAGTGTGTCTACAAATATCGTGTCCTACTGCTGGCTTCTGAGCACCTCAGTCCTCTGGGGAGCTTCCTTTCACAGTCTCCTAAGTGGCTATCCCAAAACCTCACTATCCCTCATCCTCTACCCCAACCCTGTTTTGCAGCTGAGCTTGTCTCCAGAATTGCTAAGAAAATGGAAGCTATTAGGTGTGAACTTGTCAACTTCAATTTCTTCCTTTTTTTACATTTTAATGTAAAAGGTTAAGGACTAGGCACCTAGAATCAGACTGCCTTGGTTCAAATCTTCTCTACCTGGGTGGTCTTGGACAAATTAATCTTTCTTGCAATAATACGGTTATTATAAGGATTAAGTAAAGTCCATATACAGCCTATGGAATCTTGCCTGGCACAAAATAAGCACTCAAAAACTGGTAGTTATTTTTAATATCAATTGTATTATTACAAGGTGGTGCAAAAGTAGGCTTACATTTGTATACGGGACACACTTTATTCTTGTATTATTATTTATTAATTACTGTATTTTCCATAAGAAAAACTAAACCTACTTTAGCCCCACCCTGTATTTACTTGCATCTTTATTCTTCCTCTTGTCTGAGGCAAATATTTCCCTCTTTTCCTAATTTCAGTTTCTGTGTCCACAAATACTGATCTAATATTTAGACTATTGCTCTCCTATAACTTTAATCTCTCTCTCTCCTTAAGTTTACCTCCTAACATGTGAAAGACTCTATTAACCATTTTTTCCTTCTATTTCCCTATCATGCTCTTCATAGCAACACTATGGAAAAAGTCCTTAGAATTCTCTGCCTCTAAGTTTTATTCATTTCTTAACTATGTTTTGATCCAGCTTTTATAACCAGTTCATTGAAACAGTTGTTACTTAAGGTCATGGTTGACCTCATTTACAAATACAGTTGGCCTAGCAAAACTCCAGTCCAAGGTGCACCTGCTCTCCAAGCCATTTGTGGCTGCACTGTGCAGCTGAACATTGCTAGAGAAAAATTATACTACTGTGCTGTTGGGCCTCATGTCTTGTCAAGATTTTAACCTCAAGTTGGCACTCAACATTGTCCAGCATCCCTCCAGTGTTTCCTTAGTAGTTTGCTGTCCCACTCATGGAGATTAGTTGATACCTATGAGTCTCTTTTCAAGGCTCTCATACCTTGTCGCGTTCTCCTTCTGCTGATGACTTTGTTTATACGTAAGAAAATAGAAGTCATGGGATACAGACTTCCTACCACAGAACCTGCAGGTCTGCCTACACATGCATCCATCATCTTTTCAGGTTGCAAAATAGAAGGCCAGTCCTTCCACTTGTGCTCATGATCTCCGTCCCCTCTCACTTTGAAGTTTCTCTTCCTCTCCTTGTCTCTCATACCGTGAATTAATTCCTTTTCTGGCAGGACTGTTTTCAGCAGCATGGCTTTCAAGCACCTGTGTGACCTGGCCCTGCAAACTCATAGTCTACCACTCTCAACACTGCATCACTCTGTTCTAGACAACTAATCATCTTTCCATTCTTTAAACTCCCACTTTCTCACTCTTCGGTCTTCACACCTGCCGTTTCCTCTGCCTAGGGTGTTTGCCTCCACCCAGCACAAAAGCCTGTTTGTGCATACACACTCATCCATCATACACGGGTCTTTCCATATCTGTTAAGCTTTGTGTCCTACTCAATGAAGCCTTCCTTAATCAAAGTAGCTCTTTGCTATTTTCGTGAGTAAGGACTTTGTCTTGTTCATAGCTGAATTCCCAGAAGTGCTTTGCCGGTAAGTACTCAAGAAGTACTTAGGATTCACATCTCAGTGAATGGCATCACTATCACTTAAGCTACTCAACTAACCCAAAACTTGGAGGTCCTTGAAGCCTTCCTTTCCTTCAGTTCTCTCATCCAGAGCTCTGCCTTTCCTTCTAACTTCTAAGATACCTTTCAGCTCCATCCACCATCACTTCCTTGCAATTTCCTTTTAAAACTTTCCACAGCCTCCTTACTGGTCTGGACTTTTGCTTTCTTGATCAGCACCCTTCATCCTCTTCTCTCTACTGGCACTGTAGAAATGTTTCAGAACCAAGATCTGATCATGTCATCTATCTAAAACTGCTCAGTAGTTTTCAACTACCTGTAAATAAAGTCCAGACTTCTGTGCATGGCATGATAGATCCTATATACTCTGCCTTCCTTTCCTCTGCATCCCACAGAACTTAATTTATAACCAGTTCCAACTACTGGGAATTCTGACTGAAATTCTGACTTTCTCCTCTTTACCTACCCAGCATATTCCCACTTTCCTTCATTAAGACTTAGCACAAGCATCCCCTCTATGAAGCTTTTCCTAACTCCTGCTCCCTCCCACCCGTAGCTTCTGCTCCCATAATGCCCTGGATTATCTCACATTGTATGTTGCTTTGTTGCCTTGTTGCTCTGTAACTTAACTTCTTTACTAGACTGACTTCCTCAAGAGTAAGGATTTTATCTTATTCACATTCATTATTGAAGGTCTTCAGTAAAAGTTGTTGAATGAATGAATGAATGGATGGATGAGAGGGCTTCCTAATTAATACCAGAAGAAACACACATAGAGCAAATGTGGCACAGAATCCAAGGAAGGAGTGATCACTTCTTGGTGCAGTGAGAGAGGGAATCATAGATGAAGTGTGTTGGGAGCCTGGTGTGAAGGCTGACAAGCAGGAGTCTGACAGCTAGAGTTGGGATTTTTGGAGATCCAGCATGAGCAGTAACAGTGCAATGAAAAGGGATGTATTGCCTGACAAGAAAATGTCTTAGTTATCTATTGCTGCATAACAAGCATCCCGAAACTGAAGTTTAAAACACAAACATTTCTTCTTTTGGTTGCAGAGGATTAGGAATCCGGGAGAGTTTAGCTTGAAGTTCTGGCTCAGGGTCTCTTGTGAGTTGGCAGTCAAGCGGTCAGCTGGAGCTACTGTTGATCTCAAGTCTTGACTGCAGCTGGTGCAAGCCTCCTAGCCCATGCCTGGAGTCGTTGGCAGGCCTCTGTTCCTCGCTGGCTGTTGGCCTGTCACACGCCTCA